GCAAAAATATAATAAGTAATGGACACACTAAGATCTTTAAGGTATTGGCTAAGCTTATTAGGAAGACTATGGAATTTTCATGGACAGTCTTGTTTATGGAATCTAGTGTGCCAGTGTGCTACAATAGCTTTGAAATTCTACTGAGATTTTAGGACATTCTTGGATCCTTCATTTAGCAGCTTTTCCAGAACAGAAAATGAACTATGCAATGACTTCATGATCACGTGTTTTCTGCCTTTGGGGAAGATACTTCCCACTATTGTAGTGTGTCAGGCTAGAGAGACAGCTGAGCATTTAACGGAACTCGCTGATCTTACAGATAGATGATTGTGTTTGAGTCCTAGAACCAACATGGCGGCTCACTACCGTCTGTTCCAGGGGAATCTGCTGTCCTCTTCTGGATCCTGTGGGTGCTGTATGCAGGTATTAATAGGGACTTACATGCCTGCAAAATAAAATACTCATACACATAAAATAAAAATAAACTCCCGAAAATCGCCCTGTGTTTAAAAATACTTTAGTTATGCTTCTGGGTTTGGGTGGAACTAGCCTCTATCTCTGTATTGTTTCTCTTTGAACCACTGATCTCACTTCAGGAGATGGGACTCAGTGCCTCTTAATTTTTGAGTGTGGAAGAGATCATTCCTTTGACACAAGAGCCAAGCATTTCTCTCTATAAGGCATCAAATGTTGCTTCAAACAGTGCACTAGGTCTGTCTACTTCACTCCAAACTTAGTTCCAACTTTATGTTAACTTTAAGGTCTGAGGTTATCAATGTACCTCTGTTAGACAACTGAGCAACTAAGAAGAAAACTTAACTGCAGCCAATATCTATTAAAAGTGACTCCTGTACCTGTTTGCAGAGTTTTTTCCATTAAATATTTTTTGCAATGGGTCTATAGGATATTTCTTGGGCAAACTCATCAGTTTGACAACCTCACAGAATATAGTAATTCCAACTAGGTCTAGCCTCACATGCCTGGAATAACAGTGTTCTGGTGGTTGAGGCAGGAGTTGGGGGGTGGGTCTGCCAACAGTCTCAAGCTCAGTGTGGTCCAGGACGGTTAACAGCATGAAGGGATTGAAAAGTAGAAGAAAGAGAGAGAAAAAAAAGAGTGAACCCTACTTTCAATTAACGGGACTGAGACAGGGCTTTGATTTTAAGCTAACCATCACTTCCTTTCCAACCCAAATGGGAACTTCATATAACAACCAATGATGTGAAGTAGTAGAAGATACTCGTATACATAAATAGGTCAACACTTTGCTTGAACTGTATTACAACAGGCTGTTACAATCAAAATTTTCATGGTATTTTAAAGTATATCTCACAGGTATTTGTATTTTGTCTGTATTTTGATTTAAATGATACTTTAAAGACAAGGGGAATTGTATTCTTAGTCTTTGTATGGCACTTATTAGTAGTCTTAATTGGGTTCATTTTAATCAGATAAATACTGTCCTGTGTCAGCACTCGCTACTGAATGCCACAGGTTACATGATTGTAATCAGTGCTAAGGAAAGAAATACTCATGGTGTAAACAATTTTGTGCTATGAAAGTCTGAAGCAAAGTATGACAATGTATGATGGGATAAATCACAATGACATTATCAACTTTAGAATCTTGGTAAATTAAGGTTGGCCTTTTATTAGGGAATATAATCCAGATAAATATGATCAGACTTTGCATGGCATAGTTCTGGAAGGCGTAGAGGTTTCTTTTTCTTTTATGATGTCTCTCATGTATCCCAGGCTGGCCCCAAACCCACTCTGTCGCTGAGGATGACCTTTGACTCCTTATCTTGCCTTCATCTTTTGAGTGCTAGGGTGGCAGGCAGGCGTCACCACGCCTGGTTTATGATGTGCTGAGGATGAGTTAACTTCTATAACCTAATAGCCACATATAGTTCAATAATGGAATAATACTAATAATTCTAATGGTATAGTAATAATAATAATGGTGTAATGGTAACAAAATAAAAAGACACTATCTTTATGAGCTTTGGTATATCAAATTATGGATTATCATACATCTAAAAGTAATATATATATATGATGATGCCCATGTTCAAACTAGGAACTCATAAATATATGTCCATTCATAGTTTATATACCTATATGCTTCACTCATATTTTCAGGCATTTGAGTTCAAAGTAGAAAGAAATCTTAGTATTAGGCTCACACAATTATGTAAATTGGTATCAGAAAGTATCCTTGGTATGGCTTTCATGTCTTGGCGAAACTTGTTAATCTTCCATAATCATAACCAGAATATGGAAAACCTACCCAAATATCTAGTTTAAAAGATGCATATCATCATACTTTTATATTCCCATAGCAAAACATTATGCAAATAAATGAACAAGTATGCAAATGACTGAACAAGTATGCAAATGAATGAATGAATGGAGTCTGGCTTAGAAAGAACTGAATTCACTATTCCATACCCAGTGGAGCCAAGCTCCATTTCTTTTGAAGTGTATCTAGCTTTCTCTTTTCCTGCCCAACAGGTCTTGTTACCTTTATTTGCAGGGGGATTATTTAGTTCAGCAGCAACATCAAATGATGTACTAGATAATTTTGCCACCTTTATTCATGAAGGCATACCTAGAAGAATAGCCATGATTTCAAATACGTCACAGAGAAAGTTGATCAAATATAAACTGAACTTAAGATGCTTTATTCTAGGGAGGATTTCTAATTAAACTCTTGTAGCTGTTTTGTTGGTCCGTTTCCTTAAATTGGGCCAGATTTAAATTTTCCATGCATAAATTTGGTAGCTCTGCCTGTAAGTTTCATGATACTTGTATAAGACTGCCAAGATTTTTGACATTTTGTAACTTCAATGGATCCTTGCTCTCCCCATATGCAACTTTATTCTGTTTCAATAGTGACTTCACAGAGTCATGCACACAAGGTCCTATCTACTTTCACTTGTGTCTTCACTGAATTAATACTGTTTTCTTGGATTTCTGCATTAGCAGAGATTAAAAAAGCATGTTTAAAATTCAGAGGTTGTAAAGAAAAATTAGGATTTGTATTTGGCTAAATGCTATTACAATAGTGACAGGCCTACCTTGTGAGAAGTTAATTCTGGAAATGTGTATGCTAAAGATCTCTGTGTGGATAGCCATAGTCACTCTGATGATTTTAGCCACCTTGAGTTCTAGCCAAAACCAAACACCCTCTGCTCTGATTGGTGGAATCATGCTCACGGGTTTAAGGAATACCAGGAAACACACATGAAGCTGTGACTCCCGTGCAGAGAAACAACAGGAAGTGTTTGTGGCTGGAAGATCACAGCCTTTGGTCCTTAAGGAGAGACAGAGCGGGTCAGACAGCTGGAAAAAGAAATCCGCAGTCTGTCCTTGACGCTTGCAAAGGAATCATGTCTCAACTATCGACTACAATGTTCATTTGTCCTGTGTGGTATTTCCCAGGAGTTTCCCTTTTTTTTTTTTTGCGTATCAAAGGACAAATGGTGTCCCCTGCAAATGACAGCCCATCATCACCAATGCTTATAACACTTCCACTGATTTCTGGGCTGTATTCTTGGCACCCGTGGCATGCCCAGTGCTTTCAAGCCTCACATAGCAAAGTGACTCAAGATTTATGCAGGCTATGCCCCTCAGAGAAATCCCAAACAAGTCAAGTGCAGACCGTAGCAGTTCAGGGGCAGAGAACACACTGGCTTCCCTGTCGCGCCTGCCCTGTGGTTCCCTGACAATGCCTTACTGAGCATGGCTGGAAGGGCATACCCATTTGAAAGGACTCAATGACTTTTTCTCCATTAACCAGATGGATTTTATTTTATGGCTTAATGTGTGTGTCCTAAGGAAGCTATCTTAAATTGTTCCACTGCAAAAACCTTTGAAAATCATTGCTATACCCCTTACTAACTGAAGAATTACTATGTGGAGCCTGTGAATCAGACAATTCATTTTTCCTCTTTCAGGGCTGGAGACAGAACTCATGACTTTATTCACGGTGGGCAAGCACGTTAGAGCCGTATCTCCGTGTTCACAGTACTAACTTTTAATAAATTTTGTTACTGCTTTGGAAATTAAAACTGTTACTTTTTTTGAGATTCACTAAGCATCTTCTCCTTTTGAGAACATGTTAGGGACCAATTTAGGAATGAGGACGGTGCTGCTGAAGGAATGTCCATCTAGTGGTGTTCAGAATTTCACTCTTCCACTTCCGATGAAGCACAAAATGGTGCATTGAAGATGTCACGTTGGTGCCTGGGTAAAGATTCAGGGACCTGGATGCTACCACTCATTATCGTATTTATTTATTTATTTATTTATTTATTTATTTATTTATTTATTTATTTATTTATTTTGAAGTTTGTGAAAGCTGTGTACCTACTCACTGCAAGGATTCGTGCATTATGCCCTGTCACCTGGCAGAATGCACTCAGGCAGTACCCTGGTCAGCCCAGGTGCAAAGGACCCCTTTAAAAGGAAGACAACCCCCCCCGCTCTCTTTCCCTGAGGCAGACAGGGATTTTCCTGTCTTCCTCTTCTCTTCTGTCTTCTCTCTGTCTCTGTGTCCCTTTGCCTCTTTTTCTTTCCCCCTCCCTCCCCTTTCTTTCTTTCTTTCTTTCTTTCTTTCTTTCTTTCTTTCTTTCTTTCTTTCTTTCTTTTTTTTTTTGGTTTTTTACGAGACAGGGTTTCTCTGTATTGTTTTGGAGGCTGTCGGTCCAGCCCGGCCTCGAACTCACAGAGATCCGCCTGCCTCTGCCTCCCGAGTGCTGGGATTAAAGGCGTGCGCCACCACTGCCCGGCCTCCCTCCCCTTTCTATAAAACTTCTCACTAAGCTCTGTCTGCCTGGCATCTTTGTGCCCACCTCGGTAACCCTCTCTTGCGGTGGAATCCACCAAGGTCCCCCATGAGCTTTATCATAACATTCAGTAGCATGCAGCTAGTTTACAGGGTTTTTTGTTTGTTTTTAGGTTGCAAACAATTCTCTCTGAATCCTACGTTGTACTTACTAATGCATGCTGACAAGAATGGCCCGTCTCTCTTAGCCGGAAGTAGATGGTGGCTGAAGTAATCCATAAAGGGAACCAGAATTAATAACGGCAGGATGCTGAGGGCATTCATTAGTGCGATTGGCAGAGGAGATCCGCCCAAGTTCCGGTTGGAATTCATGGTCTGAAGATAATATCCCGAAGGGATCTGCGTGTGAGGGAGAGACGAGTTAGGCAGTGGCTTACCTTTGAAGGGTGGGTACTCTGTCAGATGCCCCGCCCCCTCGAGCATACTCTATGACAGGTGACATGGATGTCCCATAGTTTTTCAAGACCCAGTAACGAGCTGACAAAAAGACCTGTGATCTTGGAGGCCATGTTCAGTTCAGTGTCATTGTTACTGATTCTGAGAACTCTGTTTTGTTATTTAGCTCACTTTCATAACTTTGTCATCCAGGCAGTTCAGGTAAGGAATCAGGTCATATGAACCCTCCGTACTCAAACTGACTAGGTTTTCATGGACATTAAAGCAAAAGCCACCAGAAAGGGTGAAGGGTGTTTGCTTTCACTCCAATGAAACAAATCTGGGGGCCCAGGTTGGAATCTCTAAATGACACCTAGGTTGGCAGCAAAATAGGATTATTTATTATTTAATTTTTCCAAGGGGGGCGACGGGGAGACACATGGGCTGTCTCTGTGAGCTTCCCAGAAGGCCTTTCTAGCCTCAGCCATGCAACAAGAACAACAAGGCCAACTTTTCTGTGCTTGTGGCTTCCGTTCAATTGCTTTCATTTAAGGCTTCATGTGTGTGGGCTCTTTGTCTGTATGGTTTGTTTGTTTGTGTGTGTGTGTGTGTGTGTGTGTGTGTGTGTGTGTACCATATACATGTAGTGCCAACAGAGGCTAGCATCAGATTGATGAGGGAGGTCAATGCAACATGGAATATAATATATTTATTTACCAGAGAAAGAACTCACACACAAGCTGAAAGGTCAGAAGCGTGGCAGGCTTCCAAGAGAGAGAGCTTACTTTTTCTTTCGCTTCCTTGTATCCTCACCTGTGCCCGTACTTTTGTCCACGCCTCTTTTGGGTGTGGACTATTTCGTGAGCTCACCCCTACATCAGATCTCTCTGGAAGGTTGTGAGGTACCACATGACTGGTCCAAGATGCTTCAGGCCTGTTACTCACTTTCAAGATGATGATGGTGTGCCAGTTGTAGTGGTTTCCATGTGGAATGTCCAGTCTTCCAAAGGAGTGTGTGCTTGGACACTTGGACTCCCAAGCATGGTGTTGTTTGGGAAGGTTGTGAAACCCTGAAGCATGGGACCCTAACTGGAGAGAGTGCACAGCATGGGGTGAGCTTTGAGGTTTGATAGCCTGTCTCTACTTCCTGTCTGGTCTAAGTTTTTGGATTGCAGGCTCGATGTGGCCAATTGATTCACGTCTTGTTTGTCTTTGCCCCTTCTTGAACTGGGAGCCAAAATAAGGTCTTCCTCCCTCGAGTTGTGTTAGATATTTTGACACAGTGATAAGAAAGGTTCAATCCCCAGCACTCATATGATGGCTTACAACTGTATGAAACTCCATTCTGGGGGACCTAACACCCTCTAAGAGACATACATGAAGCAAAACACCAATGCACATAAAATGAATAAATAAAGCATTAAAAATCAAGGAAAAAAAGAGACGGATAGACAGTAAGAAAGAAAGAAAGAAAGAAAGAAAGAAAGAGAAGGAAGGAAGGAAGAGAAGGAAGGAAGGAAGAAAACGAGAGAAAGAAAGCTGGCTGGTACACTAACCAACCTGGACTTAAGCTGTGTGGAACAGCTCTCTACTCTATATTAATACAAGAGAAGACAGAATTTTTAAATTTCCTTTGCTCCACCTCATAGTCTCAATTGACCACAAAACCTTTTCATATTTAAGGAAACCCCCATGCTAGCTAGAAACCCCCATGCTGACTAACTCTTACACTAGCTTCTGGTCTCTTCCTATATGCCAAGCTCTGAGGAGTGGGACACGGAACACATGACATGGGCATTGCTTCTCGCTTTCTAAGTGCCATTAGTGGCACATGAGACATCTTTGATCCCCAGCAGCACACAAAGCCACTGAGAGACACACAGCGAAGGCCTGCATTCCTCTTCCTTGAGGAATGGCTTTCACAAACTGATTTTCACACAGTACTAGAACCGAAGGGAGAGTTCTGCCTTCCCCTCACCCCAGGACAGTCACTGGGCTCAAACCCCCACATCACAGCTTCTTACTGACTTCCTCACTGGCCCCTTCTCCTTGGTCAGATGTACAGACTGGGAGTGTGTAAGTAGTGTCAACAGAGTCAGAGCTTCGGCTAACAAACTGATTAATAGTAAAAGGCAACTCTTGCTATGCTGTCAGCCCAGACATAGGGCGGGACCACATTTTCATGCTTCTCCCTGTCTGCATATCCTGGAGGATAATTTATCTCCCAGTCTTTAATGTGATACTTGGGACAACAAACAGGGGTTGCTTTGGTTAGGTCCAACGGTGAGAGTGAAGGGTATATTAGCTATTTCTGCCTCCGTAAAATGAAGAGACACCCCCCCCCAATCTGAGGGAAATGAACGATGGATGTGTGGTTTAAAAAGAGCCGGCAGCTGAATAAGTTTAAGACTGAGTGGCTCCTAGCTTCCGAGCAAGTTTCTGCTACTGATTTCAAATGAGAATTATTGTTAATAGGAATAAAGTTATTATCGGCATGAATCACAGACACTGAAACCTGTTAACTTAATAATGTTGCCAATGTGTCATTAATCTTTAGTGAGGCGATATTAATATATCGCCTAATCCAAAAAAAGGCTGTGGTGTCTTGAAAGCTTGAAATCATTTCTGCTTCTGCCTCAAGTTCTGCAATCCTCCCCCTTTTAAAATTTTAAATACTTTTATTTCACACAAGCCTCTGAGTATTCAGAAGTAATTGCTGTCAATAGAGATTCATTCTCACCTTTGAGTGGCCCTAATGCCAAATGGCAACCTTGTCAGCCTTAATATCAACATATTTTAAATATATGTCTTGGACCTGAAGGTCAATAATTGCTACTAAATTTAAAATATGGAATTCTGGGATGTTTTATTCCTTGTACTTTGATTGCCTTTGTGCCAGTGATTATTTTATCTGGAGGCAAAATCTAGTCTAAACCTGTCCTAATGGAAGTTCCAAACCGGAGACGATGTTCTAACATTTTCTTTCAATTTCTAGCAAAACATCACTCTATATAAGGTTGGTACATATATAGTTTTTAACAAGATACTTAGTAAAGTGTCAGACTGATGTTCTGGGTAATAGTAATAAGATTTGACATTTGCGTTGAGTTAGGGCAACCACCCTGCCACATGCTAAGAAGTTCAAGGTTACTTAATCATCTTTCTATCGCTGGAATCTTAGACATGCATTTATCTTAAAGACAACGTCTCGGTGTACAGCCGGGTATCCGGGCTAGCCTTGAACTCACCATATATCCCAGGCTGGCATTGAACCAACAGCAATCCTCCTGCTTCAGCCTCCCTAATGCAGTGGGGTTATATACGTGAGTCATTGCACTAGCTGCTAAGTCTCTGATGTGTGATAGTCACAGTGGCTGTGCAGACTTCCTGTGAGGATAACATGAGACGTTCAGAAGCCAGGTTGGTGACACGGTTCAGCTGGTCAGGCACTTATCACTGACGCTGAAAGTCTGAGTGTGATCTCAGGAACCTACGTGGCAACAGGTGAGAACTAACTCCTGGACATTGCCTTTGACCCCACCCCCACCCCAGGTCACGGCAAACACACCTCTTCCCCATCAAGTAAATGTAGATATTTGGGACCCATCTTTAAGAAGCTGTGGCGAACAATAAATAATCAGTACATGCTTGAAGGTTTTTTCTCCAGTAAACTGGGCATTTATTTCCTTAAAAATTAGCTTACCAACTTTTTCTTTACTTATATAGCCCAGTCATGTTCCTTTAAATAACACCCCACCCATAAAAAGATAGTTCATTGGTGTGTGTGTGTGTTTAGAGGGAGGGAGAGAGAGAGAGAGAGAGAGAGAGAGAGAGAGAGAGAGAGAGAGAGAGAGAGAGAGAGAGAGAGAGAGAGAGAGAAGAGTGAAAAGTGGGTGGGCACTGCCCTAGAAGTGCGGGAGGGGACAAAAGCAGGTAATGCGGGGTGTGACTAAAACCAAATTTACCAAAATGGGTTGCATTTACGTCAAAATACAAAATATAGAACCTTTCACAGAAAAGACTCAAACTGGGTGGAGAGAAATACAAGTTGCTGCTTCCCATGAAGACAAGGAGTTAGTAACTCGTACTCTTGGCGCAGAAGGTTTTGGGGCTAGCTATGTAGCTATGGACTGCTTAGTAGCTCGGTACCCATTATGTCCTCAGGCCTAGGTGCCTTTCTGGCAGTGGCCATTCTGGCAGTGGCCATGGAAGGGAAGAAGGCTTCTGCTGTGTCTGTTTTGAAGCCTGCTGCTACTTGTACAACCAGGAGTGCTTTCTTGGTCTGCGCAGTTACGGCGCGCTGTTTGGACCAGGGTTTAGCAAACCTTTCTGCAAGAGATCGGGTGGTAACCATGTCCACACAGGGGGTTTTGGCAGCTTTCAGTTCTGCCACCTTTGCATCTGAGCGGCCACAGATAGAACAAACCAACGGCCATGGCAGTGCTCTGATAAAGCTTTATTTGCAGGCAAGCTGTTTTTTCCCCCATCTCTATCATTCTGTGATTGATGTATGCAACTCAGGCATTAGCTTTCTAAGCTCTAAATTGGGTTTGGGGTAGCCGTCAGGAATGTCCTGAGTTTGTTCAAAGACTTTTTTTAGTTTTTCAAGATAGGGTTTCTCTGTAGCTTTGGAGTCCTGGAACTAGCTCTTGTAGACCAGGCTGGTCTTGAACTCACAGAGATCCGCCTTCCTCTGCCTCCTGAGTGCTGGGATTAAAGGCGTGCACCACCACCGCCCGATTGTTCAAAGACTTTTATAGCCACCTCTTCCCACTCCATTTATAACTTGATGTTTGACCACTGTCACATTGGCTAAAATCACACGTATCTAGGAAAGACACCCTGGTCTTCGTGTTTTCTCTTTGATTTCCTCCTGGCATAAGGACAGACTCCCTGAAGAGTAATATGAGAGTGGGAAGAGAATCGCTTACTCGTCAGTGAGAGTTAGTGAAGATGGAAGGCGGTCAGCTGGTTAGAGGTGCTTTCTAAAGGTTTAATTGGGAGGTGGGGAATCTTTCATTAAAGGGAGTTCGGGAATTGCGGAGATTCTAAGCTTCAGGGCTGTGCACTCTGAGCTACCATCTGTGCTTTGGCCCGTCGTGGACAGTCCAAGGAGATGATCCCACCCAGGGTCTCCTCAACTGAGTTTCAGCTTGACCCTGCTGAGCTCTCAGAACCAGGGGCCGCATTGTTCGGGAGGTAGGGCAAAGGCTCAGGATGTGTTTGAAAGAGCCTGCAAGGGTGCTGTGACTCGTATGTGGGATGTGTCCCCTGAAGATCATGTGTTTGAAAACCCTGGTCTTCAGATGGTGGCATTGTTCGGGAAGGTTGTAGAAGCTTCAGAGGCTGGTTTCCTGGTTTCCTAGAGCTGGCCTCAGTGCCCGTCTGTGGACTGTGGCCCGCCTAGTGCTGTCGGTCCTTCCACACCGCAACAGACCCCATCCCTTCAAACCGAGCCCAGATGAACCCTTCCTTCCTCAAGTTGCTTTGCGGAAAGTGACTCATACAGGATGCCCTTGGTGTGCGTCGGCGGGCTGTCTTCCCTACCTGCACGAGGCACATTCTGTATACGAGCTGGAAGCTGAAGAGAGGCAAAAGGGTGGAGAGGACAAGTTCCGTGGTGTCTTCCTCCTGGAGTTCCCTGCGGCGTCTACAGCGTTGTCCCATGGCAAGGTCTGACGGACCTGCTCCATCCCGCCCGAGGTGGCAGTACCACAGGCAGCGTTTTCTCAGGGCTTTGAGCAATGTGCCAGCGACTGTCAGGAGCGAGACACCTGCAAAGCATCGAAGACAGCAGTGTGTGTTAGCTCAGACGTAGCTCATCAAGACCTGACAAGCCCAGGGACAAGGGGTGGTCAAAGCGGGCTAGAAGGCTTCCACCCCTGAGGACTGGGATTCAAAGGCACGCTGACCGGACAGCTTTGTGATGACCAGCCCAGGGTGCCTGACAGCCGGTGTAAAAAATGAAAAAAGGTAAGATCAAGGGGACACATTAGAAAAGGAATGACAAGGTACAACGGCAGAGCAGGGAATTTCAGAGTCTCTAAGAAGTGCCTAACGTCAGTCATTAATGAATAAGAGAACCCGAGCTTTCTTTTACATCCTTACTCAGGACCCAGGACTGTTCTGTAAAATATAAATAACCCTCATTTTCCTTGGCAGGTAGCGCTTGGTTCTTGTATTTTGACACAGAGATGAAGGCAAATGTATTCTTTTCTTTGACTTTACTCTTGAATTCCAGACATAAAATTAAATGTTGTACTCTTTAAATGCCTTTATGAATGTTGACAGTGTTACTAAACCACCAGGTTGTATTAGTTGACTTTTCCAGGACTGATTTCCCTCCGTGTTGGTATGGAGGATGCCTTAGCATCAGAAATGTCATATTGCCTCAGATGGCAACAGTTGCCTAGTCCCAGTTATCTGAACCTCACTCTTGTTTCTTTTATGATGTTTAGATTTTACTTTTTTTGTTTGTTTGTTTCTCTTAGGAGTTCCTGCAACTATGACAAGGAAAATACCCATATTGTGTAGTCTAGCTGTGCCATCTTGATTGTGACTTTCACCAGACAAATCCTTCCATAAATTATAGACACCAAATTTTGGTTACAGGAAAAACAGGACAATACGCATGAAAACATCTGAGTTTCTCTCAGCAAGTCAGTCAGAGGCACTCAAAATACAATTCTGGTGTCATTTCATTGTGTCCAACTTTCCTATAGGAGAATCCTACGAAGGAAGAATTCTAACCAGATTCATTTAGATGCCACAAAGTATTGGCTGTTATATTTAAATAAAGAGCATCTATCAACATCTCTTTTTATGGCTATAAAGTTGGCTATATTGATTCCCCATCTGATCTTTTCCATAGCTCTTATAATAGGCTGATTATGTCAGTCTTTGATTAATTGAGGAGCTGGGGGCCTGGTAATTGAATGTGCACCCTTTCTTCACCCCAAGTCACTGAATCAAATCCAGCCCAAATTGGTAGTGACCAAGAATGATTATACTTGTGGCTCTCTGGTGGCCTCTGGGAAGTATCTTTAGGTCACATGGAAGAGCATTGGGATAACTGCTGACAGGAGAGCTGCTCAGATCCACGGTCCTTGTCACTGCTTCCTGACCACTGTTCCCGAGCACAGAAGAAGGCTCAGCATTGGCCTAAGGAGACAGAAGCATGCCGGTGCTGCAGGACTCGTGTCCTCTAGAGAAGAAGTAACATGGAAAGGGCTTCACTGTCACAGCCTGAACTGTTCCATCATGAGGTGTCCCTAGCTGTCTCAGTGAGGTGTAAGCAGAATGAGGACTGGGTGTCAGATGGTGAAGTCTAGAGGTGAACTTTGGGCAATCCTGGGCTAAGTGACTTAACCTTGACATTTTGCTATAGCTTTGCTTGTGTCGCTCCTCAACGCATACTCTGCTTGTCCTGGCTAGTTTTATGTCAACCTGACACAATCTAGAGTCTTTTGGGAAGAGGGAACCTCAATTGAGATAATGCCCCTCACTGGCCTATGGAGTATTTTCTTGATTGATGATTGATGTGGGAGAGCCCAGCTCCCTGTGGGGTGGCACAAACCCCTGGGCTTGTGGTCTGAGTGCTGTAGGAAGACAGCCTGGGAAAACCATCAAGAGCAATCCAGTAAGCAGTGCTCCTCCATGGTCTCTGCCTCGGTTCCTGCTTCCAGGTTCCTGCTCTGAATTCCGTCAGCGATGGAGCGCTATGAAGACATGTAAGCTGAAATAAACCCTTGCTTCCCCAATTCACTTTTGGTTACAGGGTATTCTCACAGAAGCAACTGTAACTAAAACACTGATCATTTCTTGAAAACAAAACAAGACAAAACTGATGGGAGATGCCATTCTGTAAATCTGTCTCTCTTATTGGTTGTTGAATAAAGCACTGTAGGCCAATAGGGAAACAAGATAGGTGGGACTAGGAGTCGAGGAGGACTCTGGGAAGGAGAAACACAGGGAGTCACGATGTAGCCACCATAGGGGTAAGAAGTCCGGACCCTTTCTCCAGTAAGAGAAATACTTAGATTAACAATTATGGAGTAAATACTTAAGTCGGAGATAGCCAGTAAGAAACCAAACAAATGGCCAACAGCTTCATAATTAACACAGCGTCCTGTGAGTTATTTAGGGGTTCAGACAACGTAGCAGGGCCCAGGCAGATGGCAGGGAAGACTTCACCCTACACAAAACAAAACAGTGCTATGTAGACAACAGGGTTATTATGGTGATTCACTTTGATCCAAATGACTCTAGGTTTTCAGACGGTCTTTATCATTAAATGATGATTATTTGTAGGAGGCAAGTCATCGATTTTTTTAATATCTTTTAGAGATATTTTCTTTACTTTTCTCACAAGTGGTCACAGAGACATTGTAAGTAGTCAACTCCTTGCAAGTCTATGATGAAAATGCAATGGATCGATATGACAGAAACCTACTAGGCCATGGCATGTAGGGGTTTTTGAGGTGTTGACGTATGAACTGAGGACTGATGAGTAAGCAACGTCACCGGGAGGAAACCAGCCAGGCAGATGAGGAAGTAGAAGTGAGCTGGGACAATGTGGCAGCCATAAAGGCTCTGAGGCTGGAGGACCTAAGGAGAAGAATGTGGTGAGAAGACAAAGTCCAGTGCTTATTAGAGGCCAGACTACACAGATGAAGATTATACCCTCCAAAGGTTTGGAGGCCAGGCTGCACAGACGAAGATAGCAATGTATAGTCCACCCTCTGAAGGCTTGGAACCCGGACTACACAGAGGAAGACTGTACCCTCTGAAGGGTTGGAGTCCACACTGCACAGTCGGTGGGAGGAACATATAATTCACACTTGGAAGGGTTGGAAACCCCTAAGAGGTTGTAAGTAGAAGAGAGATAGCATATAGCTCCCATTTTTAAAAGCTACTCTGGAGCCTTGGAACACTCAGCCCTAAATGGGATGTCTCCATCAAATCTGTCTCCTTGGAGCTCAGGGAACCCAGTAGAAGAGGAGGTGGGAGGAGTTTAAGAGCCAGAGGGAATGAAGGACACCAGGAGAACAAGGCCCTCTGAATGAGCAGGAGCAAAGCTCATATGAACTTAGAGACCGAGGCAGCTCACACAGGGCCTGCACAGGTCTGCACCAACTCCTCCGTGTGTGTATTATGGCTTCTAGTCTAGAGGTTTTATGGGATTCCTGAGTGTGCTGTGAGCGAGTGGGTCTCTGATTCTTGTGCCTTCTTTTGTTTTTGTTTTTTTTTGTATTGTTCAATTTTGATGTGATAATTTTTGTTTTACCTTATATTTTATTTTGCTATATAGTTTTTAAATGAACTTTTAAAAAATGCTAACCTGGGGCCTGTTTTGCGTCTCCTTCATAGAAGGCTCACTTACATGTATGTAAATTTCAGCTTGGTTCTTAGAACTGAAAAATAGTAAAAGAAAAAGTAACCCTTGAGCCTGATGGCTGATGGATTTCTGGGGATGAGATGGGGAAGCCAGACAGTAGAGAGTGGTGATGTGGATAGGACAGTAGTGGCAGAAGAGACCATTAGAAAGAATGGACTGTGTCTTCAGCAACCAACAGAATCTTCTGACGGTAAGGAAGTGGGAAGAAACAAGAAGATGGAGGATGGCCATGTTTCCCGGAAACAGTTGCTTGTTGGTGACTTATTGGGAAGGATAAAGGAGGTTAGCATGGGTTGGACAATGTGGTGCACGCCTTTAATTCCAGCACTTGGAAGACAAAGGGAGGTGGATTTTTGGGAGTTCAAGGGCATTCTGGTCTAGATAGAGAGCTTCAGGCCAGCCAGGCCTACACAGTATGATGAGAGAGAAAGAAAGATACACAAAGGCAGAGATAGAGGAAGAGACAGTGAGGGAGAAAGTGGTGCATTTGCAGCTGGGTGAGCTAGGAGTTGGGTTGGGATCACTTTTGAGACACTGCTAAGTAACTAAGTCTAAAAGTCAAGTAAAAAGTGAGGATGAGCTTCTCAAGACTGGGAGAGAGGTGGACGTGGAGCTGAGAGGCCTGTGGGGACCACTAAAGGCTCCGGCTTGGGGACATTGGAAGACAGGCATGAAGAGAGAAGAGGCCTGGCTCTTGAAAGGACTCCTAGGCCTCAGTTATCATCGGGCTACCAAAGTGGGGAAATGGGTGGGAGGATTGGAGAGGAAAGCCTCAGACAGGTGTGAGCAGTGGGTGAAAGAGGGAAGGAACAGAGCAAGAGGAGCCACTCTGAAAAAGATGCTGTTAGACGGCAACTGCCCCCATCACTGCAGTTCTCGCTGTTGAAATCACCTACGTACACAAGCTGCACCACCTCTGTGTGTTAATCCACTAGGCTTGATAGAAAGCTCACATCTGTTGTCCAAATAACTGGGCATGTCATGGAGATTCAGCCTTTAAGGAAATTCCATTGTCATTGGAATTCTTGGATTGTTTCTGTGCACCCAGAACAGAAAGGGGGAGTGAGGAAAAAGAGAGGAAAAACAAAACAAAAAACCCAACGACAACAAAAGCCTCAGTCTGGAATGAAAATTCAGGGAAGATGTGAAGTTCTGGTTTGAATGCAGGGACACACACAGCAATCGTGAACATTCTCGAATAAAACAGATGAGCCATTTTAAATGTTTTATTGTGAACCCAAGGATCGCAGCTATTACTACTACTAAAAAAAATACTTTTAGGAAGCCATTTTACTGTTCTTTGTACCTTTGAGTCCTTGGCTCTAATGTTCTACTCCTCTGACCTTGATCTAATCATGAATATCTATAGTACTTAAT